AAGCCGGCCAATTTATCATAAATTTGAAACTCAGATCATGATACACGTAAATTGGCCGGCTCTAGCAATCACGATCGCTTAATCATAAAAAAATTATCACAAAATTATGCTACTTTTTTGTTTTGAAATAAGTGATTTATAAATTCAATTTTTTTAATACTGTATTATGATAATATATCATCAGAAAAATACACCTACTTCGTTTTCTAATTTTGAAATTTCAGAAATGAAACTCTCACCTATTTTCGAAATAAATCCAATATTTCGAAAGAAATAAAAACTAAGACAACATCTCATTTTTTTAATAGTAAATTGTCATATGTCATATATTACTTGCGCGTTGTAGTAAAATTTTTGGGATGCATCTTTTAAGCTTTATGGTAGGAATTAGAATTAATATTGCTAATATATAGGTGGGTTTTAGGTTAAAGGGGACCTCTAAATTTAATAATCTGCGACATCTAATTGCACTTATGGGAGGCAAAGCCCTGCCTCCCTGTTTATTGGATTTGGTACAGTACAAAATCCCAAAATCCTGAAAATATAAATGCTAGCTAATGGACCTCAATTAGATTTATGTTGAAACCGCAATGATAAAATTAACAATTAGGTAATTTAATTTTTATTTTGAAAATTTTGATATTTCTCTCTTTATTAAACATGCTATAAACAGCCCCTAAATTCTAAAAGCCTCTTGGTTCCAATATCATATATAGTTGTGATTATTGGTCATATTTCTTATATATAAATTGAATTAAGAAACAAATTTTTTAATCCAAAAATAATTTCTTAATTTTTATTAGCCAAATTATTCTCTGGAACGTTGTGATATTATGGGTGTTCCCAAATAGCATACTCAATTAATGAGTGATTATAATGGTAAAATTTAATTGGATCTTTGTTCAAGATAATAGAACAAATAGACAGAATATGATAAGTATGGCCATTCAATTGGAATGATAAGTACTTTAACGTCTTCCATTAATTAAAATTTTCTCTATGGCATATTAAACTATTATAGCTTTACATCATTCATTAGAATATTAAATAGAATTGATTCGGGAAACCATTTTTTACTATATAGTTAAAATTTGCTTCCTGACCTATTCCGACTGATCGACTAAAGCGCTTGAGAACACCCTATGTAATTTAATACAGTGGCGATCATAAGTAATGGAGCAAAAAAAAAATTTTGCTTAGATCGTATTATTTCGAGCAATTCGCAACGTATTCTTTTATTTTTTTTTTAATTTATTTGTGAATAGTTATTTTTTTTTGATATTAAATTTTTAATGAATTTTGTTGTTGTTGATTCAAAAATAATCACGCATGTAGCACAAAACACGCGATGCATTACTTTTGATCGTTCTCAACTAAGATCAGATGAGGTATTTGTACAACACAAACAACAATATAAAAGTAAAATACATTGTTGTTTTTGTATCGTTGTATAATGTTGAATCTAATCTATAATCAAACTCCTCAAAAAAAAGAATGAATGACTCCAGCCCAAAGGCTAATATTTTATTTTCGCTGCAAAAAGGATACTCCACAAGGGCGGTAGGTGTCACCTTTAACATTAGTTCCTCTACCGTATGTCGCATCAAAAATAAGTGGGAAAAACACCGCGTACTCGAGGACTTGAAAAGGGTTGGTTGCCCAGTTGCTCTGGGCGAACCAACCCAAAAGAGAATCGTGAACCTAATCACCTCTCGTCATTGTTCAAGTGCCGTTAAAGTTTCTTTCTAGCTTAAAGAACAAGAAAATATTGACATTTTCGCGCCCACTATCCGTCGTATACTCAGGGCCCACGGTTTGGTGTCAGGAATCAAGAGAAAAAAGCTCTACCTAAGCAGTATTCATAAAAAACGTCAGTTAGAATTTGCGGTAAAACATGAAAGTTGGACCTATGAAGACTGGGCCAAGGTAATTTGGTCTGATGAATCGAAGTTCAAAATTTTTGGGTCAGACGGCAAGCAATATTATTGGAAGCGTCCTGGTGAACCTTTAAGCGACTTCCATATTAAGCCTACGGTGAAGTATGGTGGTAGTTCCGTTATGATTTGGGGCTGTTTCTCGTCTCGTGGTGTTGGTGGTTTTTGTCGGATCGAAGGCCACATGGATGGCGAGCTATATCGTTAAATACTTCGTGAGGATTTTTTGGGTACTGTTAGGGACCACGGGTTTAATATTCGTAATATGATTTTCTAGCAAGACAATAACCCCAAGCATACGGCAAAGTTGACGAAATGTTGGTTAAGAAATAACCATATTACATTGTTGGATTGGCCCCCCAGTCTCCCGATCTCAACCCCATCGAACATTTGTGGATTGAGGTTGACCGTCGACTTAGGAACCTCTCTGAACAAATTTCGTGTAAGGATAACCTGTGGAACAAGATCCAGGTTGTTTGAGAACAAATTAATAGTGAAACGTGCACCAACCTTATTCGATCCATGCCCGAACGGATTCGGGATATTATCAAGGCACGTGGTGGATACACCAGGTGGTAGAGGCCAAAAGAACTAGAATAGAAAAAAAAAATTTTTTTTTTATATGTAAAAAAATTTTTTTTTGTTTTAAGATCGTGCTGCATTACATACGATCAAAAGTAATGCAACACGTCAAATTAAATAAAGTTTATGTTAACGAAAAATTATGATCATTTATTTTTTTTGAATTTTTAATGCATGAAATCTATAGTATTTATGAATAAATTAAAAAAAAAATAAAAGGATACGTTGCGAATTGCTCGAAATAACGCGATCTAAGTAAAAATTTTTTTTTGCTCCATTATTTGTGATCGCCACTGTATTTCGGGAACACAAATACACGCAATATAAAAAGATTGCTTTAGTGCGTACGTACTGTGCGTAAATAGCTACTCGGAAATGGCACTACTGAATCGATTAGAACATTGGTTTCGCATATTCTCCATTACATAATAATCTTCTGGTCATATATAGGATTTTTATGTAAGTTTCGGTAAATTAGCTCAGTTATTAATTAACTTTGTTACAGGAAAAAGTGTGTATTTAAGATATCCAAGTTTTTGAAAAATATTAAAAAGAAAAAAGAGTCCGGTTCTGCCATTAAACATTCTAGAGTTATTAAATCGATTTCATCTTCAATAGATAATAATATAACGTCTATTCAGCCCAAAGTACCGAATTCTTCTTTGCCCAAAATATTCAATCCACATGAAATGGTTGATTATTTTCATAAGTATAATACAAGACCTGGACAAGTGAAGTTTTCAGAATGATTACAACTAATATAAGGGCAGTGCTTTAATATAATGCCGGACTTCTGGTGGCCCCAATTAGTTATCCGAATCGACTAAAATTTTTTAGTAGTTGACTATATAGTCATATAATATATATATATATATATATATATTTAGTATTAAGGTGAGGTCTTGCTTGTATCTTTATTTAATAATTTATATAAGTAATTACATAAAGCTATATAAATACTTAATTTGTATACTAACAAATAAATATAAATTATATGCAAAAATAAAAGCTCAGACAAAATTATCTGTGACCTAAACCTACTAGAGTGGTCAAGACTCACCTAGATTTGGATAGATAGAATATAGTTAATAGATGTGCTATGTTTAATTCATATAGTGGACCAAATATCTTATTTTAAAGAAGCCTGTTCTAGGGGAGAACAGATATTAGATTCAGAATGTAAATGTTGGCAAAGCTACAAGAGTAGCTAATAGTAGATATAGTTTTGTTTCTTCTGTAATTTTGGGATGAAGTAGTATATTAGGTGTAGAGCAAATAAGGATCTGGTGGGTTTTTTTTCAATATGAGAAGTTTGTACAATGTGGAATTCATATATTGTTGTAAAATCAGAAATTTTAAGAAGTATTTGTATAATTAGTTGTGAGGCTTGTGAGTAAGAAATATCAAAAAAGTTTAAAGATTAAATTAGAGATTTGGGGATGAGGTCTTTAAAGTGTAGAGTGGAGTAAATAAGAGTATAATGTAGAAGGTAAGGGATTAAAGGAAGAGTAAGAGGAAATCATATATATTAAGTTGTTAAGTTAATATAAAGTAAAATTAAGGTTAATATTAAAGATAATCTCATAAATAAAAGTATTGATATTTTGAATTAGAAGAGTATTATTAGGATATGTATACTAGTGAAAAGGAGTATCTAAGCTATTATAGGAAAAGCAGTTAGATTTAACCAGAAATAAAATTTACGGGTGTGGCAGCCTAGTGAATAGAGATGCAGACATTTAAAAATATAAAGGTAACTACTTTACCAAAAAAATAACGGCAATACGACACATTTGCCGTATAAATAAATATGCCATAAGCCGTATAATTATTGTTAGCCGTATACGTGCCGTGAGCCGTATAAGTGCCGTGAGCCGTATAAGTGCCGTAAGCCGTATACGTGCCATAAGCCATATAAGCGCCATAAGCCGTATAAGTGCTGTAAGTCGTATAAGCGCCGTATGTAGTATAACAGATAAATACCGTATAAGTGCCGTATCAGTATTTAGAGAGGTCTGACTGTATTAGTCTCACTCTTGTTCTAGTTTATTCTTTTTTTTTTTTATTTTGAATATGAACTAACAACTTCTTTTAGGTTTTTAGATCTTTAACTTGGAATGTTTAGATCTTTAATTTGGAATGTGAGTTGAAACTTGAACTAGATTCGGGCAAGAGACTGTAATGATAAGTACAGTCGGATCTTTCTAAGCACATGCCCTTGGAACCACACTTAACAACGTGCACTTGGATAACAAACTGGAAGCTAACACTTTTCACTTCCTTTTTACAGGTTTTTTTTTTTTTGTTAATTAGTTAGAATGCAATTTGGGGCAAGTTGGTTTAATAGAATAGCAAATAGGACCCGCTGCTATAGTATGCTGTAGATTTTTATAATTTCAAAATGTAATATGATATAACATCATTGTAATGTATTTTATATGCCGAAAAATTTTTAAAGAACAAATTAAATTAGAAGATGTTCGCTCAGAACTCAAAGACCAAAATCGGATTACTTCGATAAAAGCGAGCCAGAGCGTCAGTGATAGTATAGTTACGGATATGCCCAACATGCAGACCATTATCAACGGTGCTAGTATGTTTACCCACGCTATCAACCAAGCAAAAATTAACCAGGATTTAAAACCGGCTAAACAAAAGGCCTTGGACATTTGTATAAAAGCCGACCAATTAGAAACTGATATTATTCCATTAGTCATTTTATTTTTTATTGAAATAAAAAACAATACATTATTCATATATCGATATACAATACACAAATCTCAAATCATATTAAGCATATATTGTTAAAGTGTGGTCTCAAGAGCGTGCGCTTAGAGAGGTCTGATTGAACTTGACCTCTATAAAACTGTAATGCATTTTTTCTATTATTCTAAGTGTGTGTTGTTACCGCGCGGTCTCAAGAGATCTGACTGTATAATGACTTTATAAACTGCTCATCTTTCGTCAATCTCCTGCCCCAATCTAATTCTAAAGTTTAACTTCGCGACATGCCAAAGACCTAAAGATCTATGAAGAGAAGAAATTGAAGAAGTTGTTAGTTTATATTTAAAAAAATAAAAATAAATAAATAAATAAAAGCTAATACTTAGCGTCACCGGATCTAGATCAAGTCCCAATTTGCATTCCAACATATTAGTTCATATTAAAAAAAAAAATAAATAAAAATGCAAAACCAGAACAAAAATAAAAAGCTTACAGTCTATAAATGCGCTCTTTCTTATAACACGTGTATTATCCAAGTGCATGTTATTAAAGTGTAGTCCCAAGGGCACGCACTATGAGAGGTCTGACTATATACACAATATTATAGTCTCTTGCCCGGATCTAGATCTTCAAGTTCCAACTCGTATTCCAACAAGTCAAAGACCTAAAAACCTCCAATAAAAGAAATCGGTAGTTCATATATTCAAAAAAAAAACAAATCGGAACAATAATGAAAACTAATAAAGTCAGACCTCTCTAAGTACGTCTCTAAATGCATACTTAAATTCTGGTTCCAATATATATTTGACCTCTATAATGCGTCTTTTCTTATTATTTTCTAGGTGCACATTGTTAAGGTGTAATTCCAACCAAGTACGTGCACTTAGAGAGCACTTATCGTTACAGTCTCGTTTGGATCTAAATCAATTTCCATTTCATCCAAGCTCAAATTTCCCGATCTACAACCCTAGTGTCGTACTACCCATAGTTCTCGCTCTAACATTAGTTAGCTCACTATAAGTTGCGAAGTATAGTCTTTCTAACATTCTTTATCTTCGAAAATAAATATATGAAGTTGTTCTGTAAATAAATAAATGTACACCTTAACAGTTATCATTACAACTTTCGAATAAATTACCACATACGTTCATACTGTACCTTATGTATTTTCTCTATTTGACGAAATAAGATTATCAAGCCATTCTAACTTCACCATATTATTCCTTTCGTATCTCTTGACCAACTGAGGAACAACATCAATATCTTAAACTAGATGAAATAATTATTAACCTTGTATTATGTAAAATAATATAATGACGTATGTGCATGTCTGTGGTCAATATAAATATCAATAGGTATAATAAAGTAATACAAGTAATCGATTGCAATTTAAAAGCGGGGTTCAGCATTTATTTCATATTTATTATTAATTTGTGCATAAAATTATTAATTTGCGCATTCTATTTACTCTGCTTTTCATGTTCTAAAAACCTATTTAATACATCACAAGGATTATAATCCAAATCCTCTGGTAAGACGGCTTGGGATGTTTCTTCCGTTAGAGGTTCTGAATTTTCTTCAATTTCCAAGTCAATAATCTCATTGATTAACAAAGTATTAGATGTATCTGACAAAGGCTCGTCATCATCATCCATCTGATTCTCTTCATAACTCATAATATTACCAACTGAAGATAGATTACATGCATCTCGAAGATCAGCCTCTGTCAATTCTTTATCAGGAAAGCTTAGCTTGCGCCGAATATTTGTTGTATAATACGATCTAATTTTAGATATTCCCTCTAGCCTGCTTATATTCAAATTAATTCGACGATCTCCTAAAATCCACTTTAATGATGAAAAATTTCTTTCGCAACTTGCTTGTGTGGGATTAATTGAAAAAATTCTGCAGGCTAACTCGGCTAAATGTCGAGGTTGACTTTTAAAAGACCCCCACCAAATTTTTGGAGTATCTATACCCGAAACATAAGGAAGATCAAATGGTGGCAATCGTGCCTCAAACCGTCGCATTTGTGCAATTAATTCATTACTTTCTAATTCGGTATACCCTAGATTTTGCCAGATTTCAATAGATGTAAGAGCCGCTTGATGAAACCCATTGTCTTTTAAACACTTTCCTAAAAGTTTATATTTTTAGATTAATGTATAAATAAAATTTAAGTATTAAATAAAATAATTTACTTGCCTTTTTTATTGTATATTGATATATTATATAATAACGATAAATGATTGTATAGTATATTAATTATAGTAATTTACAAAACTTGTTTGCTTATTTAAATATAATTTTTAATTATACATACCTCTATACTGTGGATGAATATAATACGCCAAAATATAAAGTGGGTGTAAAAATTCTTCATATCGTCGATTAAAAACATGAACTGCAGAAGCTTTAAAGGTATTTATTTCAGGCAAACGTTTAATAGCTACAGCTAACTTGATTAGATATGCAAAACAATCTGCTAATATTGCCGTATTAGTTTCTAATGCATAGATTACTTCTTTAATAGGTTGCCAAATAGAACGCACTAATCAACACGTAATAAAAAAGTCTTCATTAGCTAATAAATTAGCTATTTCTTGATTTGTAATTGTCTCAAGATGCTCAGAAAGTAACTAAAAGTAAATTTTTCTTATTAATAATATGTAATTCTAATAAAAATATTTAATATTATAATTTATACTTACCCAATCAAATACAGGCCGTGCACGAAGCATTGAATCGGTAGTAAAGTATAAAGATCCCCATCGAGTTTTTACCCAGGTCTTTAGTCCGCCACCTTTAATTTTCATATCAGTGAATCCCTTAATAAGCAATGAATGACTCGAATGAGAAGAATTAAAAAAATGATTAATTTTTCCACAATTAGCAATTAGTTTTTTTAATTCATCTAACTTAACCAAATCAGCAGCAATAAGATTAACCGCATGAGCTGCGCATCGGATATTCCAAATATGTGGATACATTTCTTGTGTTTTTTGACATGCTAGATTACAGTTTGAAGCTGCATCTGTAACAACAGCTGCAAACTTATCTGAGCCAAGTTTTTCAATAATATTGGATATTTCATTTGCTAAAAATTCCCCCGTATGAGAATAGGATGAATAATTTTTTAAACCAACTAAATATTCTTTTCGTGTGTCCGTTGTGATAATATAATTATAAATTGACTCCATTGTTGGTGATGTCCAACCGTCTAGAGCTTTATTAAATAATAATAAATTATTATATTTAAATATAATTTAATATATCAATATATATGTAATATCGATAAATAATATGCATCTGCATGTTACTTTGATCATTTGCATTATTTTATACGTATATTAAATATAACTTCACAAACATGCATATCTTTAAAGTTATATAACGAATTGTGCTATTCAAAATATTAAAATTTTTAAATTTTATTTATAATTGTATACCAACCTAAAGTCAAATAATCAGCTCTATCTATATCTCTATCAATTGTACAATTTATTCGTGCTATTTCTTCATCCAGTAATCGGCCCGATAAAGTTGTTCTTGATGGTGGATCATATGCTGGTAAAAACTCTTTAAACATATCTTTAATAAATGGATTTTCAATAACTTCGAATGGAATTCCTGCCATTACCCAAGCTTTAGCTATTTTTTGATCAAGTCGATTAACTGCTGCTTTTGGTAATGGACGATCAGATAAAAAATGAGTTGTTATTGCTGTTTGATTTGGTAAGGCTTTTTTTTTCGTGTATAGTTAGAATTTCTTTCAGCAACTTTTTCTCGCCAATATCGTGCTATATTTTCAGGACAATTAGAGCATTCATTTGCTAAATGTGCTTCTAATATTGCTGGTTTTCCTCTTGCCCAAGATTTTTTAGGAACACAATAATAACAACTAGCTTCATAATGGCCATGACTTTTTTCTGTACCCTTAAGATAATAATCCTATATTTCAGTAAATGGTCTAGATTTTTTTTTAGTTGAAGATTGTTGGTTAGAACTATTTATTGCATATTCTTCTGTTTCTGATCTACTCTCTGATTCTTCCATTAAGTCTGCATTTCTTTTTTGCAAATTTTCTTCATTCATCT